TTGCCCCTTTCTACCAAGCTCCACCCATCAGGTGGCCTTCATGACCACACCCACGCGTCCCCTCCCAGCGCGTCACAAGCCCGGTCTCCGGCGCGTCGGCACTTGTGAGGGCACGCTGGCCTGCAGGGCCGTGCAACTATGTGCTGTGGCGCACAGCCCTGCCCCGGACACGCCCGAGAGATGGAGCTGTCCCGGGGCTCGAGCTCAGCCTCGGAAGCTGGCGACTTTGGCATGCACCTGACCCGATGCACAGGGTAGCACAGCCCGGCCCCTCCTTCAGACCCCGCCCCCTAGCGGTGGCCACCAGCCGTGTCCGCAGAGTGCGGCCGACACGGCACCGCCCCCACAGAGCCCAACTATCAACCTTCCGCCAGGATTTTGTTTGTGCAGGTCACGCCCCTCAAGGCCCAGCCCCCAAAGCAACCTAGGACCCGCCCCTTCCAGGCCAGGCCCTTTCGTGGGACCGTCTCTCCCCAGGCCTGGATACTTCAGGCTCCGCCCCTCCTGGTCACACCTCCCTCAGGCCCCACCCCTCAGGCTGCCCTACCTTTTCCCGGACCCGCATCTCTGGGTCCCGCGGGTCCCTCCCTGGCCTCATCTCCATAGCCCCGCCCCCAGGCCCAGCTTAATCGTCTCGGGCCCCGCCCCTCCGCGGCTACCGCCCTTACTTTGGCAGCGGCCTCGGTACATTACACGCAGGTCCGGGTGCCCGCGGCAGCGCGCGGCGCGCAGCTCGCACTCGTCCCGGTAGGTGGCGCCGTCAGAGCCGCAGACCTGCAAGCCCGCGGGAAGCCCCTCGCAGTCTGGTGCGCACTCACAGTGTGGACGGCCCCCCACCATGCGGCACGCCTTGCTGGGGCCGCACTCCACTCCATCGCAGGAATCTGGGGACAGAGAGCGCGCAGGTGGGGTTCCCACATGCTACTGGAACCTGGAACACCCTAGTGCCTTGACGTCCGTGCCTGTGCCTTGACGTCCCGCACGGAGGAGGGGTTCACTCCGCACATCCTCATGTCTCAGGGGGAGGCTTGGCTAGACGAAGTCTTGTCAACGTTGGGGTTTCCACCTCGCCCCACACTCTTTATTTTGTTCTTTTGAGGCGGGTCTCCTGTAGCCCAGGCTGGCCTTGAACTGATCCTCCTGCCTCTAGATCCCAAGTGCTGGGAATCCTGGCCTGCATCACTGCTCCTGGCCACGTGTCTCTTTTAATATGTTGTTTAGCCATCATTTTATAGATGGGGAGACTGAGGCTGTTACAGCTCTGAGTACAAGAGGACCTTCAAAACATCCTAGCTTGAGAACTTCATGCTAGACTCAGACTGAACATCCCTCCCTGTCCTCTCCCAGTTCTGCCTGTGGGTCCCACATTACAGAGTTAGCCTGGACACCCCCACAGGGCCCACCCACCCATGTATTGAAATCCAAGAACTAAAAGGGCAAATTCCCGGCCCGAGTACCGAGGGACAGACATAGGAGGCTGGAGAGGCAATCCTAGGCCCTCAGGCCCAGGCCAGGTGTTTCTGGATATCTGCCCTCTTCCCAGAAGTTAGGGGTGGGGTCTGCAGGAGGGGCATGTGGCAGTAGGCTTGGGACCACACAGGCAGGCTGATCTGACATTAATCCTATCCCAGAGGCCAGTTCAGGCTCCTGGGCTTGGCCTTCAGATCTACAGCCTAGGCTCCTCCTGGGTAAGCTGCTTGATGGCACCCCACCCTCCTAGAGACTGGCCCTAGCACCAGTGCACTCTTCCTTGTGGGTGTGGGCTTCTAATTGTCTCTCAATACCCTACATCTAATGCCATCTAATGCCCATTCTCTCCAAGTCCTTCCCCAGCACTTTTTCCAGGTCCTTGCTTGTTCGGCCATGACCACAGAGGGACCAGGGGTGCCCTGCAATCAATGCTGCCTCCTGTCTGGACTGTCACTCATATGTTCTCAGCAGGGATTTCAGGGGTGCACTTCTCAGACTAAAGTATAGATACCTCAGGTATACGGAACATGTAAAATTGGTGGTAGTCGGGGCTTCCTGTGGGTGACAATGGGGACAGTAACCTGGGTGTCCGGGCAGGATTTAAGGTTAAGTTCATCTCCACAAGGTGAGGCAGGGTGCAGGCTAGGGGCTCTACAAGAGGAGACCAGGGGACTTGAGCCTTTGCAAGCTGCAGCCCTGGGGTGCCTATGAGTGCTCTCTGAGGCCAGGGTCCCCTCCCCAGCCTCCTGTCCACTCTGCTTCTTGTCCACCATCAGGACCCCCACTCCTTACCTTTGCATGGGAGGCAGTGGACGAGGCCCAGGAAGCCCAGCAGGCTGATTTTATTGCCTGGGTGAGTGAAGTTGGACCAGGCTGTGTTGATGTTGTTCGTAGCACAGCACTCTTCCCGGCTGACATCTGTTTTCAACACCAGGCTGCAGGTGGCCTCTCTGTCCTGCTGGAGCCAGCACACACCACCTACATAGGGAAGAGGAGGAGGAGGGCGACTCCAGACCCCCATCACCACCTATGAGTTATCTTGTTAGCTTGTGTAGCAAACTCGTAACCAACACTCCAGGTCTAATGCTCCCTCCAATGGTGAGATGTCCATAGCCATCAGGGATGTCCTGTCTCCCACTCAGGAAGAAGGGACAGAAAGTCACAGTTATGGTCTTGACTCTGCTCTGTGGGGAGCCCTCCTCCTCTGAGCCGCACCCCAGTGCTCCACCACCAGCTCCTGCCCAGCGTCCGGGCCTGAGAACTGGCACCCTGCCCAGTCCCTTCAAATGCCAGGCACTCGGCATGTGAGGGTCTGTGGGCCTGCACTGGCTTCCCGCCTCTGCCCTCTGTCTAGACAGTGCCCAGGGCAGCCGAGCCCCCGGCCTGCAGCCCCCCCTCGCCTAACCCGCCTCTTACTCACTCCAACTGGGGAACATTCCCTCTGCGTGAGCTCACTCCCCTGGGATGGGACGGGGGACGCGGCCCTAGGGGAGGGGGCTCGGCTCCCTTGGAGGCCAGCAACTCTGAGGGGCGGGCGGGGTAAAGGCTGGAACGCAGAACCCTGGACTTTCTTCACCCTTAAATGGGGACAGCCGCATCCCCTGTATCGGAACTCTTCGTGCACAGGAGGCACTACTGACCGCCTTCCACAAACTGGGCTCCCGCAACTCAGCAAACACTTTTCAAAAAGGGAAACTGAGGCTAGAGCTCTCCCAGCCAGATGCAGGTTCACCATTCCAACAGAGACATTCCAGCTAAGGAATCCTGAAACCATCCACCCAGGTGGCATTAGCAGGTCCAGTCACCCAGAGATGTCTCTCTAAAAGAGATGTCTCTCAAAAGGAGCCACCTACAGTGTCACTTACGAGGTTCATGACCCCGAGCCTCAGTTTACCTATCCTGAAAACGGGGATGGAAAAAGTACCCACAAACTTTGGGTTCTATGGACTCATGGAAAAGCAGGCAAACAGTGAGAGCTTAATAAATAAATGCCAGCCGTCTCTTGAGAGTAGAGGAGGGGAGTACCCCACTCGCAAACCCAGACAGATCCCCCCCCAGCCATCCCCCTGCCGCA